GGAGGAGCAGAGGAGGAGGGGGAGCAGAGAAGGAGGGAAGGAGGGGGGAGAGAAGGAGGGGGAGCAGAGAAGGAGGGGGAGCAGGAAGAGGAGGGAAGGAGGGGGGAGAGATGGAGGGGGGGAGAGAAGGAGGGGGAGCAGAGGAGGAGAGGGAGCAGAGGAGGAGAGAAGGAGAAAATGCAGTAAACATGGTTTTTCAGACTCCTCCTTCTGTGACCTCCTCTAATAGCCGCAGTCACTGAGCTGCAGGAAGCCGGACGCTTCATGAACAGAACGTTCATCTAGTGAACGGATCCGTCTCCATCATAACTCTGGAAGCTTCCACTGAAACGGTAGATTTAGTTTCTATGGAGACTAAAATCCCGTCTGGACAAGGAACAGGAAGCTGGACACGTCTGCATCATCTTCTCCTCTTCCCATGACGGCTGAGCTAACACGCTTTATATGACCTCAGGTCTGACCTCAGTCACTAAAACAGAGGAGACGGTGGTTAGAGCGCGATGGCAGACGGACAGCGAGCTCCTGGCGGGAATATGGAGGATAGAAGGCGGGGATAATCATCTGCAGCCTGCAGACCGTGACCTAACCTGGCAGTTAACCGCTGGGCTGAACCGCCACAGAGATCAGGTATGGACAAGGTTCAACCCGAACCTGAACGCTCGGGCTGTTCTGAACGTACAACATGACCCCTAACGCCTAACCACTAGCTCCTAACCACTAACTGCTAACCCCTAATCGCTAACCCCTGACCACTAACCCCTGACCCCTAACTGTTAACCCCTAACCACTAACTCCTAGTCCCTAACCGCTAACTCCTAGTCCCTAACCGCTAACCCCTAGCCCCTAACCACTAACTCCTAGTCCCTAACCGCTAACCCCTAGCCCCTAACCAATAACTCCTAGTCCCTCACCGCTAATCACTAACCCCTGACCACTAACCCCTGACCCCTAACTGTTAACCCCTAGCCCCTAACAGCTAATTCCTAACTGCTAACTCCTGTCCCCTAGCCTCTAACCGCTAATTCCTAACTGCTAACTCCTGTCCCCTAGCCTCTAACCGCTAATTCCTAACTG